AAAATTAATAAAATATAATTATAGGAAAAAAATTAAAAAAAAAGAACAGAGCAAGGAAACACCGCATGGTTCAAAGTCAGGAAAAGAGTGTGTCAGGGATGCGTCCTATCTCCATACCTTTTCAATCTATATGCATAACAGATCATTTGGAAGGCTAGGCTTTACGAGGAGGAATGTGGCATCATGATTGGAGGATGACTCATCAACAATCTATGTCATGCAAAGATAACACAGCCTTGCTAAAACTGAAGAAGACCTGAAGTGCTTACTACTGAAGGTCAAGGACTATAGTCTTCAATATGGATTGAAACTCAACATCAAGAAGACATAGATTCTCACCACTGGGCCGAGAGATAGATGGAGAAGAGACCAAGGTTGTTAACAATTAGAGCTTGAATGGTTCCACAATCAACAGTCTTGGCACCAGCAGTCAGGAAATCAAAACATGAATTGTATTTGGGAAAATCTGCCATCAGGGACCTCTCCACGGTACTGAGAAGCAACGATGCCACTGTAGAGACTCAGGTGCACTTGATCCAGGCAACTGTCTTCACAATTACTTGCTATGTATCAGAGAGCTGGACAATGACTAAGGATGACAGAAGAATTGTTGTCTTTGAGTTGTGCTGCTAGAGAAGAGTCTTGAACATATCATGGACCACCAAGAAAACAAATATATCTCTCTTGGAGAGGGTGAAACCAACTTTCTCCTTAGAGACTAGGAATGTGAAGCTCTGTCTCATATATTTTTGGCATGTGGCCAGGAGAAACTGGTCCTTGGAGATGGACATCATACTTGGAAGGGTGGAGGGCCGGCACAGAAGAGGAAGACTCCAGTTGGATTAACACAGTAACTGGGCAATTGGGGTAGGTATGTTGGCATTAGTGAGACTGGTTCAGGACAGGACAAGCTTCAGAGCTCTTGCACAGAGGGTTGCTATGAGTCACAGGTGACTTGATTGCATATAACAACAAGAAGCTTACTTCAAAGAAACTTTAAAAACATCTGAATCTATAAATCTATCAACTACGCTGTTGTTGTTATGTGCCATTATGTCAGAACTGACTCATAGGTGACCCTAAAATTTATTTTCAGAGGCTATAAAATGAAAAGAATTGCCAATCTTTCTCTGGTGGAGCAACTGGTAGATCTGAATCACTTACTTTTGGGATAGCAGCATAACTCCTTACCCACGAAGTCACTACAGCTCACTTCCATCAACTACAACAATTTTACCAAGAGAATTTTTAAACATTAGAGGAAAACAACTTACAAATTTATATGCTGTCCTTACAGCAGGGGATGCTTTGGTCATTGCTGTGTTGAATAGTGCCCCTCCCTTCTGCAGAAAAAAAAAGAGAAATGTATTTCTACAATTTTTTCACCAAATTAAAGTATTAACAACATTGTAGGAAAAAAGCTTTACTAAAAAATTATATTACATACTTTGGGTACATGGCCAAAGAAGGACTAGTGCTTGAAGAAGGACATCATGCTCAGAAGGGTAGAGAGATAGTGCAGGACAGGAAGACCCCGGAGGAGGTGGATTGATATAGTGGCTTGCTCAGTGGGGATAGGTGTGCCAGAGGCAGTGAGCCTGGTTCAGGACAGGGCAAGCTTCAGAGCTGTTGTACATAGGGTTAGTATGAGTCACAGACAACTTGACGGCACATAACAACAATGACTGTTTCTCAGAAGAAAGATGTGGCAGTCAGTTTATAGAAAAGTTGCAGCCTCGGACACCTTATGGGACAGTTCTCCTTTGGCCTCTGGGGTCACTGTGAATAGAAATTGACTCTCTAGAAATGAGTCAAATGGCATAAGTTATTCAAGAATATACTTTCCACTGATTTTGATGTAATAGAAATATCACAACAGAAAATCTTAATGAGAACTAACTTCCAGCCATCCTCGTGATAATAGTGCTGCAGCTGCTGGTGGAGGTTAGAGTAACTGGTGGCAGCAGCAGTGGTAATGCAAGCTGAGAAGGAGGCAGGGGAGCAGAGTTCGAGGGAGCAGGTGCAGAGGGAGCAATATGCATCCAATCATACCACTTGTCTGCACTCCTGAGCAGCAGAAGAAGCCTGAGATCAGATGCCCTATCCCCACTTACGTGCCTGCTATACAAAGCCTGAGAGCCTACATCTAGAGGAATGTCCTTAGTTTCACCTGTTCATGTCTTATCTGTGGTCCTGTACTGCAATAGATTGGGTTTAGGGTCTTTAAAACCCTTAGCAGAAAAGGAAATTAAAGGAAAGCTGCTTTTGGAGGGAAGAGGAAAACCTTAGGGAACTAGAGGTACAGATGCAATGATGGATACGTGTGTGTGTGCGCGCGCGCATATGTGGGAGGGATGGGAAATTCAAGCAACATTCTACCCTCATCTTTCAGTTGATAAAATATGTCATGTAAAATGTAATTTTAATTGTAGTTTGGTCAAGCTTGAACAATATGGTCAGTAACAGATATATATTTGAAAGCTTATTAAATGTAAAGATATTTATCAACTATTTTAAAGTTAGGCAATAGTCTTAAGACAGTTTTTCACATAAAAATCATAGTAACAAAGTTACTATACTATAAATTAGAAAACTACCATCAGATTTATTGCAGTATCTAATGTTTTGTTATAGAATAAAACACAGCAAAACCATCCATTGGATTCCAAGGGGGACTGGGTCCAGGACTCCCCTCTCACATTTACTAAATCTCTTGATGATTTAAGTCTCTTATATAAGTGGGCTGAGTGTGAGCAGTCTGCACACATCCTCCCTAGATACTTTAAATCATCTCTAGATAACTTCCACTACCTAATATAACCATTTAGCCTTTGAGTGAGTGTTTTTACCACTGAGTTGATTTTTTAAAAAACTTCAAAATTTTTTTTATTTTCTAGCTCTGATAGGTTGAAGCTGTAATATGGAACCCACAGATAAAGAGCTGACTGTGTAAGATGACAGTGATATTTTCTTTTTTAAAAAAGCCACCTATCTTTTGGGGTAGGGAGATTATCACCTATGAATACCTAAAAAGCTGTCAACATAAAATGTTTAAATGTGAAAAAAGATACAGCTATGTCAAATTATGCAAAAATAGCTCAAGTATAAAGAAGTATAATTTTCAGGACCGTTTCTCATACATTTTGGAGTAAAAGAACAGGCTTTGAACAGACTTCTCATTACCTTGACTGTATGCACCCACTGTTGATAAGACCTTGGGTTGCCTGCAATACAAAATAATAACAAGCCAGGAGTATTTATTAAAAATAAATCCATAAATGAAAATTCACTACAAACTAATATTTTAAGTATTTTAACAGCTTCATTTATTTATCTGCAAAGTTGTAAAGAAATATTGGCACTCTAGGGATTAATAAAGTGATATAATTCTTAGAAGCATAGTAATTAGCACTTTTAAGAGACAATCACTTTTTCTATGCATACTTGTGATGATATTTTAAGTAATCTATCTTAAGTATTCTATCACCTTTAATTTTAATATCTGCTTACAAAAGAGAAACAGAATTTTTCTTTTGAAATAAAAAAATCCTCATGCTTTTTATATTGATTTTTCAAATGTTTATTATCTCTGCTGTTTTCTAAAAGTTTGCCCTTAAAATTAGATTTGTTTTTAACACAGTAGTTGATTAAAAATAGAAAACCCTGAAGATAATATTGCTGATAGCAAAGATCATGTTGGAAGTCAGTAAGATTTAGTGAATCACTTGTAGTTCTTGATGTAAAAATTTACCAAACACTCCATGTCAAATATATATTTTAAAAAGTCATATAATTAAATAGTCAGTGACATTTGTTGTCAGTATAGAATATATGCAAGTGTGTTAGTTACTTGTTAAGCATTTGGTTCAAGAACACAAGGGCATTTTAAAAATAGAATATTACAAAGGGGAAAAAAGCTTGGAGATTTAAAAACCTCTTCTTTATCTATTAAATTAAAACATAAATTAATAGTCAATTAAATTTTAATGCCATTAGACTTATGAGCACAGGAACAACTCTCAGTTATAAACCTGTAAGTTTTAAAGACACTATTTAAAAAATTTAAAAATTAAATGAACAAAGCTTTTAGGTTACTAAGAGTCTTAGTTATGAAAATGCCCCAAAACTGACAAAATCAATTCTAATAAGATTGGCAACTGGCTAGTTTCAAGTACAATGAATAATTTAGTAAATAATACAATATATGAAGACCCAAAAGAAAAAGAAAACTCATCTCAAGTCAGGTTTGATATCAACTGATTTCTGTTATATATCAACAGCTTTTCTGGCTTGCTTAAATGTGTTACAAACTTTCAAATTACACATGTCACAAGATAAAAAGGCCCAGTGGCTATTCAGAGACTATCCAGTAAGTGCAAAGAACCCTTAAGACACACTGGGTGTTCCACATAAACTGTAAGGTTACCTTTTAATAAGGTCTCACCTTGATGCTGTTACGAAAGGCAAAGCATTTGAAGCCCAAAACTTCTTTCCAGCTATATCTGTAGACTCAGCTTCAGGAAAAAAAGGGTCCTGCTCTGAAATCACTACAGGTTATCGCCAATTTACAGAGGGGTTCCATTTTGACAACTGTTTTTGGTGTTACTGATAGGTGCTGTTGAGTCTAATACAACTCATAGTGACCCTATGAACAACAGACCTGAACTTTGTCCTGTCCTGAGTCACCCTCACCATCTCCAACACACGTGAGCCCATTGCTGCCATCATCACTGCATCAGTCCATTTCATTAGGGGTCTTCCTCTCTTCTGCTGACCCTTCACCATTCCAAGCATGATGTCCCTTTCTAAGGAATAGACCCTCCTAACAACATACCCTAAGTATGTGACACAAAGCCTTATAAATGGGTTCTGGTGTAATAAGAGGATTTAATTAAATTTTTTTTTAGTTTTCATTATTATTGCCTTTAATTATATAAATAATAATCTCATCTTTATTTGCCTTTGGAGGTTGGAAATATTACATCTGAGAAGGATAACATCAGCAAATGTCATGCTACAACACTGTAAGCAGCGCATGTACTGATAAACACTACTAAAGAAATAAGGGGGAAAAAACAGAAGAAAAGCAAAATTATTTCAGGTGTAGTTTTGTGTAAATTAAATAATTTATAAACTGGGGATTTATTGGCACTGCGTTTAACACTTTTCCCCCAACTGAAAAAACAAAAAGATAAAGAAATGCTGCATACTAAAAAGTATCTCTACAAAGAACTTTTCCAGAAAAAAAATGTGGAGGGAAAAAAATAGTATTTTTTCTAATCTTATGAAATGACTGTAGTAAAATATACTACCTAAAATAACTGATGGTATAATAAGTTGCACTGTGTCAAAGACAGGTTTTAGTACCATTTGGCTTGATTGAACTTTTAAAAAATTTTTATTTCCCTTGTAAAATGATGAAAAACTCCATGTTGCTCTATCAATTTCTTTCTAAAGGAGACTCATTAATAAAATAAGTAAACTCTATGTCTACTTAATATATTTTATATAATTTTACTTGCCTATTTTTAAAAATCTCACAAAAATTGTTGAATATAAATTACATGCTTAAGACTTCATTATTTTTTCAAACTTTCAGAAAGTGTTCATTTTCTCAAGGATTTAAGAAAGCAGAGAAACACTAACTTGTGTATATTAGCCTTCTATTTAAGAGAAAACAAACATTTTACACCTTAAACCCCAAGAATGTATGTTGCTATCACAAAGGCAGGTAGTTTGAATCCACCGGGAGCTTGGTGGAAGAAGGATGGGCAATTTCCTAGTGTGTGATTTTCTGCCTCTGAAAACCCTCTGGAGGGTCAGCTATGAGTGGGTTCCAACTCAACAGTACACAACTACAACCACTCTTAAGTAATCCATTTAAGCAGAGCCATAGGTAGCAAGCACAGGTCAATGAGAAGGAACTGGTCTCTGAGGTCCAGTGGACATGAGAGTTCAGGTCTTTCTTATCATTGTGAAATACGTAATTTGGGGCCACTTCTCTCACCTACCCAAGCCTCAACTTCATTTATTACATAAGCATAATAGTCACTGCCATTCAGGATTATTGTGAAGAGAAAAAAATAATGATTAGACAGTGTTTCAAATTACATTAGGTACACCCTATACACACTACAGATGCAAATTAGCCACTGTCAAGTCAATTCCAACACATAATGATGTCATGTCTGTAAGAAGAAACTGCTCCACAAGGCTTTCAGTGACTGACGTTTTTAAGAGTAAATCTCCTGTTCTTCCTGAGACTCAACCTCCCAACTTCTCAGCTTTCAGCTGAGTATATCAATATCCCCTCACTATCATCAAGTTAGAACCAGCTCATAGTTGATTCTCCAGGGGGTTTTCTGAGGCTGTAAATTGGATGGGAGGAGACTGTCCATCTTTCTCTCAACTTTAACCATATGTTGTTATGAGACGTTGACTCAGACTCACAGTGACCCTATGCACAATAGCTCTAAACCCTGCCAGGTCCTGAGACAATCTCATAGCCTCTGACATACCTATCCTCATTACCCCAGTTACTGTGTCATTCTATTCAATCTGGGTACCTCTCTCCTGCATTGTCCCCCCACCTTTTTAAACATGATGTCCTTCTCCAAGGACCAGTCCTCCTGGCCATGTGCTCGAAGTATGTGAGACAGAGCTTCAAACTCCTTGCCTCCAAGGAGTGGCTTCATTTCACCTACTCCAGGATAGATGTGGTTGTTCTCTTGGCAGTCTAGCTCCAGCACCACAATTCAAAGGCATCAATAATTCTTCTGTCATCTTTGGTCACTGTCCAGCTCTCTAATGTGAAGACTGTGGTCTGTAAGAGGCACACCTTACTCTCTAGATTGGCATCGTTGCTCTTCATTACTCTGGAGAGGTCACTGACAGCAGATTTTCCTAATGCAGTTTGTCTTGTGATTTTCTAACTGTTGATGCCAATAGTGTTGACTGTGGAACTGAGCAAATTGAAATTGTTAACAATATCAATCTCTTCTCCATTTATCATGGTGCTGCCAATAGGCCCGGTGAAGCCTATACATCTTAGTTATTATAAATCCTTTTCAAAACATGGAAACTGAGGTTCTGAGATGATACATTATTTGTCTAAATTCATAAATAAATCCATTGAGAAAGAACAGAGAAGGATTTCAGTTTTTTATTTTCTTAATAAATAATTTACTTAAACTATAGAACACTACTCTAAGATTAGAAAATGAAATATCACACTTAAGCTACAGAGATTTTCTCTTTTATCATTTCCTTTAAAATTGCATTTAAAAAGTAAAAGAGTTGACCATAATAGATATTCTGAGAAGACAAAGTTACTAATCACTCTTATCAGTAGATGAAGATTATAGAATTATTACTACTGGAGCAAACAGGAAGGCCTTACCAAGAAATACACATTACTTAAAATGGTACAAAACACATGGATGGTAAAATTAGGTATTGTATCCCCTAGAAAGAAAAACAATTTCAAGATTGTCTCTTCAAATGAACTTTTTCCTTTTAAGACTGGAGTTTCTTCATAGTTTATTAAGACAAGAATGTTATTTTTTGGTGAAGGAACTGGTCTCTGAGGTCTAGTGGATATGAGAATTCAGGTCTGCTTTATCATTGTGAAATGTGTAAGTTGGGACCAGTTCTCTCACCTAGCCTAAAAAAAAAAAAAAAAGGCTGTTCTTTTTCTTAAAGATGAATTTGAGTGTCAAGAAATTCCTCAGAATATTTGTTGAAAAATATACAGTCTGGAAATAGTAAGTATTATTAAGGAAAATCTTAACATTTGTTCTGCTAAAGCAACAGCTCTTTTTTTTCTTCCTCAAATTCATGGTTGAAATAGCTATTACTCATTTGTGAAAATATTTTCTTTTCCAATGCATTTGTTTGAATTTTGGTGATTTATGAAGACACCAAAGGAATCTGAAGAATTATTTTAGTGAAATCTTTGTGGAATCGCTAAAAATTTAGATCAATTCCCATTTTTAAATAAAAAAAGAGTCTTCCAGTTTTAAAAAATGTAAATAACAATGTTGTTATTGTTGTTGTTTTGTGCCATCAAGGTACCTGTGACTCATAAAGACCCTATGTACAATAACTACCCTATCCTGAGCCAATCTCATCATCTCTGACAGACCTAATCCCACTTCTCCAGTCATTCAGTCAATCCATCTTATCCTAGGTCTTCCTCTCTTGCACTGTCCCCTTCACTCTTCCA